TTTATTTATTTATTTGGTACCAGGGATCGAACTCAGGTCATTGCACTTGCAAGGCCGGTGGCGGAACTACTGAGCTAAATCTCCTGCCCTTTCTTCTAAATGTAAATGATATGGAAATGTCCCATATCCAGGGCTACTTGAAAGGCATACTTGGGGAAAAAGAAAGTTATGTCTTGCTTGAGTTATTCTCTTGTCCATTTTGCTTTATTAGTAGCAGGACAGTTTTCTGAGTAACTGAATAAAAAAATGAGATATCTTTAAATCAAATTTTGTTTTCAGTTTTGAGGGTTTTTTATATAGAAGGCTGTGGAGTTTTTAAGATAGGGATTAATATTCTGTCCTGAAATCTTCAATGTACAGAGTAAGTATAGGTCACAGAAATTACTTGGTATTCACAGCAAAACCTAAAAATATAATAGCCATCCTACTACAGATATCAAATCAAAGCAGACATGAAGATCTCTTTCATAATAACCTTCTTTAGGATAGGAATGTTATTTTCGGTTGATAGAGTCATGATTTTTAACTCCACTGTTGCATTTTGTAGAGTTACTTCCACAATAAAAACAATTTGGGCATGTAGTTTATAGATTTTTGGAAGGGTGTGTTCTGGTCAAGATATGTGTATTTTAAAGAGAATCTTGAAAAATGTCAACATCAACATAATTATTCTCAGATATTTATAATAAAAGTTTAATAGGCTCATCAGATTTCTGGGAAAACAGGCCTCAAACTTAAAAGACTATCCTTTCAAGGAAAGAAGGTAATTGAATATATCTTGCCCTAATTGCAAATCAAATCAACTAAACATATAATCATACACAGTGATAGAAGTAAAGAATTTAGATTCTCTAGATTTCTGTTCTCACCACAAAATTCAGATGGTTAGTTTGATAAAATCATAGTCAGAATGAAGGCTTAATGAAAATACAATCATGACAATTACAGTCTCTGGACACCTGTATACTGTTTTGTTTCCATTTCTATGAATCACAAAAAAGATGGCAAAGGTTTGATGAGAGAGACTGCATGACTTATACTCATCCAGCCAGAAAGTGGCAGGACAGTGGGCACAGCCCTAGGTCAGCTAGGCTTTCCGCTAGTATCTGTGGATAATTTGGGAGTTATGGGTTCACATGCAATGGTTATTTATTTTAAAAGCATGGTTTCAGTAGAAAACATATTACCTATCATATTTGAATATCATCTGTGTAGAAATAAATTAAAGTTAAAAGTGAAAAAATAATAGCATAGTGTTCTAAGTAAAAAGAGCGACATCTTTAAACATCTTTAAAAAGTCATTTAAACAGTAAAAACAAAATATTTGAGGTGTAACTGCTTCTGACTCAAACAGCTTTTCAATTTTTTAATAAAACTTTTCATTTATTAAAAAAATCTATTTCAGTAATCTTGAAGTATTATTGATATGTAACTCATCTTCTTATGATTTAATTTTACTTTAGAGCTACCAAAAACAACATGACCCAGGGCTGGGGATTTAGCTCATTGGTTCCACTGCCTGCCTTGCAAGCACAAAGTCCCAAGTTTGATCCCTGGTACAAAAAAAAAAAAAAAGAGAGAGAGAGAGAGAGAACATGACCTGCAAAATGAAAATAAAGATTATGTGGCTACACAGTATTAGACACATTAATAGTAGGAATTTGTATAGTAAGATTTAGAGACTAGATATCTTCCATTTGGTAATGTCATGTTCTTTTGGGAATTTATTGTTTCCTTATCTAATCTTAGCCTTAAGTATTAAATCCTATTGTTTAGAAATCTACATTGTGGACCAAGATCAAAATCAAGAATATCAAACATTCTTATGAGGTTGCCAAACAGTTACACCCAACCCTGTGCAGCCAATGCATTGTATTCCCTGATAGTTAAGTAAAATTAAAAAAATTTAAAGTTATTTTGGAAATTAAATTGTGATAGTGGAAAAGGAGTTGTGCTATCAAATTATTGTTTTATTCAAAGAAGCATCAGATAATGATCACATCTCGACTGTTCCCTACATTTACTACCTGAGTTTAAAAGGGTGATGACATAGTTTTTCCTTTTGATTTTTGGACACATTTAACATTCTTTTACAAACACTTTATCAGAAGTATATTTCCCTTAACTATTGTGTACAAGATATATTAAGAAAACTGTTATTAAGAGGACATTTGTGGGAAAAATAAAGGAATGTTTTCTCAATAAGTAAATGTACACATTGATTTAGTGCAAATGAATTATTGAACCCTGATTACTATGTTCAGAAGTTATTTAATATTAATTTTTAAAGTAGTGTCTTTGTTTTACATTTGTTTTAGTAAAATTCTATATAAATAATACCTTACTCCTATTGAAACTCATAAGTGAAAATTTATATATTCAGCAGATATTTGATTGCCCTCTATTTGTCAGACACTTTGATTTATACCTACTACATCTCACAAAAAACAGAGAAGTTGAAAAATTTAAGAGACAAAAAAATGAAGATTGAGATACGATAAGGAGAAAAGAGATAAGGAAAAAGTGGTGAGTCATGAGTACAAATATACTCAGCAATGAAACCAAAGAATGGCAGAGACTCGTGGTGACAGAAAACTCAGAATATGTCACTCAGCTCTCCATCAACAAAACACCATTGTCCCATCTCAAAGAGATTCTCAGACTGGCAGAAGAGTGAAAAGTTAACACGATTTTGTAGTTCACAGGTGTACAACATGGCAGATGAACCTAGAAGAAAGTAAATCATCTTAAAGACTTAAGAAAACTATAGAAATGATATTTGGCTGAGTCTGGAAGGTTTATAAATGCATGGGATTTATGACGGAAACAGAGAAAACTCTGGAAGAAAAGTTAATGTTACCAGATTGTTATGGCTGGAATGTAATATGGGGATATCCAGTGCACTGGCTGAATTATGATTGCTCAGGATGAAGTTGAGGTAATTTTTTAAGGTAATAGTATTTTTAAAAAACCCATCTGTAAATTCCAACATGCACCTATGAGTGATAGGTGACTAAATATGAGTGAATATTTTTCAGTGAGGGCATGGTATAATTAGATCCCCCCACCCATTTTTAAGGAAGATAACTGTGGCCTGAGGAGTAAAGAGAGAATATGTATATACACATGAAGACTGAAGAATGAAATACCAGTAAAGAGTACAATACTATTACATATATGTTACAGAAAAGGACACTTACATAGAGATAGTGAGGAAGAAACCATTTCTAATGTTGAGAATATCTGAAATGTGTGGGTTAAACTTTTGTTGAATGTTATAATCATAAGTTATTTAATTCGACACACAGATCTAATCAACTCAAGCCAAGGGTCCTGGTTAGAGCTTATTTTAGTTCCTATTTTTAAATCTCCTACGAGGATCCATTATTAATAGACAGCCCCATAGCTAACTCATCTTTAAAATTGACGAATGTATTGTTAAATGTATGGAAACATAATTATGCCAATTTTTCACATGAAACCACTTTAACTTGTTTTGAGGTATATTTATTAAGACTATTATTGTGTTATTGTCCTTTGGAAAACTGCAAATATTTATCAGTTAAAATAAGTGGGTAATTAAAAATGCATTAAGAAATTAGAAACTGCCAAACAGAATTTTTTCTATTGTTTGCAAAGTTTAATTTTATTATTAACACTAATATGCACAATTTTTTGTGAGATAACAATGTGTCTACTTTAGAAGAAACTTTGAAAAAATTGAGGTTATGAGTTGTTAAATACTACTACACACATATATGTCTAAAATTGGTTTTTACTTTATGAAAAAAATTAATTCTTTTGATTGAATTTCACTAGTGATATAAATCTGGTGCATATGTATTTTTTTTTCTCTTGTTTTAAAAGGCATCTCCAGCAATTCATTTCAGGAAAGAACTCTTGTCTCTTTTTCAAAGGAATACTTTCTGTCACAATAACAATGTGTACTGTGTTTTCTAGTTACTGCAATTGTTTTTACTATTTTAAACCAGTATCTAGTATTTCCTAAAACATCTCTCTTAGATTTGGGTCAGAGGCACTAAAAAGTTTTCAACCTGAGATTTATCTATTTCCTGAAGCATCTCTCTTACATTTGGATCACAGACACAGAAAGAAGAAAATTTCAACCTGAGATTCATCCATTATGCTTCACTGAAAAAGCATCATCGTCATCATCCTCACTATTTGAGCAGTGTAGAAAAAGAACACCCGCCTCACTTTGTTTTGTCTTCTAAGAAGCTCTGGCCAAAAGAAGCATTTACAGGAAAGATAATACTGCACTACTTTTAAAGGTGAGGAAATTGAGAACTGGTAAGGATGAGTTTCTACATGCCAATGATGGAAAAGAGGGGAATTAGGTTCCAGAAGCTTATTTTTAATTTTTATTCAAACTACCTTATTTGAAGATGACCCCTCCTAAAGAAGGTCAGTAAAACAAAACCTACAAAAACTTCCTCAGCTGTGGTTGTAAATGACATGGTTGCATATTAACATTCTTTACAGATTGATCTGTGTTTCCAAAGTGGGAAGCAGTCAGTATTGGACCTGTTTTACCTATTAATTTGTTTCACTGGTTTTAAAGTCTGGACCTGTATTTTTTGCTGTAAAAACATTCTGAAGAGCTAGTTATAAATTTTCACGGAAATTAACTTTCTCCTACCATTTTAAAGGTTCGTTTGGGGAATTATAATCACAGAAATAGAGGGAACTACCTAGAAGTAACACATGTAGTAGGTTTTTATTATTACATATAAGTTCTTTTTCTCTAAAATAGATTTAAAGATTAAATGTTAGGTGTAAAGGTTAAAAATCCTCACCTAAGTGGTACAAAATAATATAGATAAGACAGAGCTTACTTCAAGTTTTAGTACTTTTTCATTCTTGTAAACTCAAATAAAATATAAGTACACAAAAACACTTTAAAAATTCTACTTCAGCTTTACAAGGCAAAATTAGAATCTCACAATTTTCACATAAATTTACACTGTATGATATGTTATAAAGGTAAGGCTTTCAGAAGAATTTCATAAAAACTAGAAACCTCATAATCTTAACCACCACAAAAATACATACCACAAAATTTAAACTTTTGAAAGAAAAATACGACATTCATTTTTTATGAAAGAGAAGAGGTTTCACCATCCCAGCCAGGATCTTGGGTAACTGTGCAGCAATCACTTCAGACATCATTTCTGGAAACTCAACAGCCAGTGCCCGCGACTGGATGAATGTATTCAAGCAGTATAGATGGAGCTGTTTGACAAGCTGTTAGTTTAAGAAATGGAAGGGAGGCAGGTAAGAAAAATAATAAATTCATATGCTACTCAAATACAACTTAGTTTTCTACCAGTAGAAATACTCATCAAGATATTTTATTCTTACCAAAATGAAAATAATTCCCACCACTCTCTAAAATAAATGAAAAATATTATATACTCATGATGGAACATTCTGATAATTTGAAAAGGTTTAAAGAAATAAATGCTGTCCATTTCCCACAAGATAAGGTGAAAATTTGTTGTATTTTTGTTACTTTTGTACAAATACACCAGCATATACAAGTAGATATACAATATTATACATGCACCATTTCAAAATGCAACTATTTCATAAATATTATCTGGCTTTTCTACAGTGTCTTGACTCTATGTCAGTAATTCAACATAATTAATTTGTATTTTATTAAAGTAATTTATATGTATAATTTTAAAAATCAGATACTGTAAGATTTATAACAGAAACAGCATCTTCAGCAACCACAAAATCTAGCATCTTCCAAAATGTCTTTCTAGTCTCATTCCAGCTCCACAGATACAAAAACTGTAGTATTTTTCGCCTGTGCCTTTTAGTATTTATTGCTCTTTCTAATATATTCTGCCTTCCAACTTGACATTATTGATTGAGGATTAGAAAATCGGAATTGAAAAATAGGGTTTAATTCCTTTTTTATACTATACATGTCACTTCTCAATGAGATTTTCTTCTCCCAGTCACTACATAATTACACTGAATTTTTTGTGGAATCAATATGCAGCATTTGTATTCCAAAGATTTGGATTAAAAATACTGGATCAAATTTTTTTTCTTGAACAACTTGTTTTAATTTTACAAGAGATAATCACTTGTGTTCATTTGTTTGTTTCCTATGTATTTGCCACAAGGTGTGCCAAGTTCTCTGACAAAATTGTACAATAGCACCTCAATATGTATATGCAGGCCGACAATCTCCTAGTTCCGTTTTTCCCTGAACTGGGTTGTCTAGAATTCTTTGTTTCAATCAAAACTAATTATTGCTCTGTGTGGTTACTGTGTTGCAGCATTACTTTGCATCTTAGTTAGGTCTACTACTTCTTTGGCTTATTGTTTTTACTTGTTTGATGGCTTTGCTAAATATATACACATATATTCTTGGAAAACTTTCTTTTCTCTCAAAATTCTGAAGGCATCATTCCATTGTCTTCTGGGTTCCAGTGTTTCTGTTGAGAAATCTAATGCCATTCTGAACGCTGATAATTTGTATGTGACTTTTCTTTGTTTATTAGCATATATGGGATATTCTTCTCACTCTTGATATGCAAAACTTTTATAATAACATACCTTGGCTTAACTGTGCTGTGCCTGTGAAGTGGGACTTTACAGTTAGAAAATTCATGTCCTTCAGTTTTGTCAACTTTTATTACTACAATTTTTTTTCTTAATTCTTCTCTTTTTTTTTGGTACCAGGGATTGAATTCGGGTCCTTGCACTTGCAGGGCAGGCCACCAAACTGCTGAGCTAAATCCCCGGCCCCTTAATTCTTCTCTTTCTTAATGGAAATTCCTATTAATTGAATGGTGGAATTCTCTCAATCCTTTGAAATCTGTATCTCTTTCTAATTTTCCATGTTCTAATTTTAACTATTTTTTTTCTCAGCAGTTCCTTTATGTTTTATCCCTTTTGTTGAATTTTAAATTGCTGACCTTTTATATTTAATTATCTAACAGTATTTTATTGCTAAACGTTCCTTTTTTAATATCTTCTATTCTCTTTTCTTGGACATAATATCATTATTATTTATCTGAGTATCTTAGTTTTTTTTTTTTTTCTGTTCTCTTCACTGGTGCTTTTTCCTTCAAGTGCTTTTTTATGCTTATTTTTCCTCTAGGTTTTTTTTTTTTTTCATTTCAAAGACTATTCTCAAACAGCTCATAATCTTGGCAGTCTCTTCATATTCAGGAGTAGGGTCTTAAAAGTTGACCTGATGAGTGGATAGCATTTTTATGCTTTCACTGTCATTTTAATGTGGTTTCTAAACAAAGCAGCAATAAAGCTTGTATTCAATATGTCTTGACTAATAACATATGTCTTGTTTTACTAATCCAGTCCTTGTGTTAGGCTTTTCTGGGTATCAAAGTAGACAGGAAAAAAAACCCAGAAATAATTAAAAGATTTTAAATTTTTACCTAATTTTTTCTGTAAGATAAATTCTAAAAAATGGAAACTTGAAAAATATGCAGATATGAGCTTTTCTGTGCATTGCCTGACTGCCCACCAACAATGTTATTTACAGTTCACCTAAAATGATACATCTTACTTTGCACATCCACACTTTTACTGTATATGCAAACATTTTTCTAATTTTAAACAAAAATATTTTAGGACATATTCTGGAAAATTATCGTAATTCTTGTTGGCCATTACATTATCCCCAGGTTAAACAAAACACTAGTGAAAGGATACTTGAGTCCCTTACATTGAAAATAAAAATATACCAGTGATGAATGTAACTGTATTGTATGCCTAAAATGTACCAATAAACTCAATGAGAGAAAAAAAAGAAAATAAAAATATACAATATAAATTCTTAGTGTGATTCAAACACTCTTAAAATTCAAGTACAAATATGAAGTTGAAGAAACAGTATCAATAAAAACTTTTATTTAACATTTAAAAGCTAGAGAAATTTAAATAATAATAATTTATATTCTGGAAAACAAATACTTACATCATGCAAGCTATCAAGAAGTTTTGTAAGTTGATAGAAACGTTGTGAACTAGAAACAACTCCTTTCTGCCTCAAACCAATTGCCTTGATGAGCTCCCTAATGTAGCTTGATCTCATCTCATCAAACTGGTTTTGACTTCTTAATCCTTCCAAAGGAACTGTAAGGGTATAATTACAAGTGGCAATTATGTTGACACTAACATTTTTAATATAAATGTCTGCGTAAGTGATAATTTCTTTTGATGTGTAATTCTAGATAAAATACATTAAACAGGAAAAAGTGCCAGTGATAATGAAAGGACATGTAAACTTCTAATTCTGGAAGAATACACAAACAAAGGTATATTAAGGAATATTACAGATTATCTATTTAAGTACTGTATCAAGGAATTATGCATTTAACTTAGCATTTACTAAAAAAAAAAAACCCACCATTACTCTATAATCCTATATCAAATACTGGTTTGATTTGGCTTATAGTTTCTGCATTTCAGGTCTTTCTTTTCTCTTTAACAAACGCTTGGATTTCTTTATAAAGTTTTTTCTTTTTCATAAAAATCTCAAACATTTTCTTTTTTTTTCAGGTACCAGGAATCTAACTCAGAACCTTGTGCTTTCCACACATGCATGGTGCCACTGGGCTACATCCCTGGCCCTGCAAACATTTTCATTGATATTATTATTTTTGAATAATATTATCTTTTGTTGTTGTTATTTTAATACTGCTTCACTAATTTTTCTAATACTTTCTATTGATATGAGAAAAACTATTAATATCTGAATATTTCTTTTACATCCAAATACTCCATGTTCAATTTAAGCAATTTTTTCATGGACTGTCTTTTATTGGTATGCAAAAAATACTACATTAAAATAATATTTTTATTTTCCACTTTCTAATAGTTGTAGCTCTCATTTGTTTCATAATTCATTACATCATGCAATGTTTACTGAACAATATTTGATAATAATGGTGGTGGATATTCATATTTTATTTATTTGTTTGTTTATTTATTTTTGGTACTGGGGATCAAATTTAGATCCTTGCATGTGCGAGGCAGGCGGTGGCACCACTGAGCTATATCCCTGGCCCCATAGTTTATTTTTATTTAATGTGAACACCACTCATACCTATTAGATGCTAATTAGTAATTTAGATACTCACTTCTGAAATTTTTAATTCCTATATTCAGATTTTAGAGATAAGTACTAATTGTATGTTTATATTACATTGTTAACTTTACCACTATTTTTCCCCTAAAAGTTTCAGGTCCTTCTGTTATCAGCTAACATGCCCTGGTTGATTTCTCCAGCAGCTTTACTACTAATCTCCAGTTTCCTTGCTTAATTTTGCTTTGGCTTCCCTTATCTTACAAACAAACCTACAACCTTAAGTGAACCACCAATTCTTTTCTGTAGCCACATCCAGATTTCTGAGAAAATCACATCTCAAAATTTATATTACTATATATATGTGATCGTGACCCTTAGCAAAATTTCTATTAAAAAATGCCTTTAATTTAAAGGCAACTGTATATATTCAGCATTGAGAAAAAAATCTTTAAGAAAAGTTTCTATTTCCAAAACCCTCTTGGAAATCAGACCACTCCTCTTGGAAAAAAAGGTCACACATAAGACCCAAAGACAAACCCAAAAGTTAATTCTTTGTTTTGAGTTTTCAAATGTTGAGTGCAGAATGTAAGTTTTGTTCATTTGAAAACAACTGTATATACATCTGTATGTCTGTATATCTATAATCTCTTCTCTTAAAATATTTCACAGAGAAGTTATTTCAAACTTTCTCCATCTCTAAGGTTTCCAATAGAAACCTATTTTCATTCACTCTTTAAGAATGTACAATTATTTTTCTTAATTTTTTAGTAAATTCTTTTATTAAGATTATTGTGTAGTTTGTAGGAAATAACAGTAAAAGTATGTGTTTAACCTGCCATTTGTTCCTAGAAATATGTATTTTATTGTTTTATATTTTAGTTTTTAATAGTAAATAGGAATTTTAACTTTATAACACATCATCAAATTTATCCTTGCAAATCTTCCCATTGTGTTTCTTTTTATAATGTATTTCTTTTGTGAGATTTGGAAATAATTTACTGTATGTATCTTATAGTTTGTCTTAATGATTTCAATGTTTAAATTTAACTCAATTATCTGGTATTTAGATTAGGATATGATTTGACATAGTCAAACTAACTTTACTTCAAATATAATGCTATTTTTCTCAACAATTTTTATTGTGCACTAATTGACTTATATTGTTTTAGTATGGTATTTATGTTGTAATATATGCTTTTCTGGCTTGTTTAACAATTCAAAGCATTATTGTGGCATTCTAATTCCTCTCATAGTTTTGTAATGCTTATCTACCTATCTGCTTAGATTTAAAGATGAATTTCCAATAGCTCTTCCAAAATCTTCTCCCCACTGCCAAAGTCTCGTTATAGTTTTGATTAATGTACATGCAAAACATAAGTGCTATTGACCAAATATTTTTACTTTTCCTTCCTCTTGACGTGGTAAATGGCCACGAATCCTGCTTTCTACCACATGTATGTGAAAGCCACATCTACTTCTCCTTCACACTCCTCCGGTGGTGGTGGATGATTACGCCAAGATGCAGCCTTTGTTTGTCTGAATTCCTGAGTGACAACAATGAGCACAGCCTTCTGTTGGTCCGCTCTGGACATACAGAGGGCTTGTGTGGTGCCCCAACATAATGTATTCTATCCATAAATACAGAACTATGTTAATTATACTAATGAAATTGGGAGATCTGGGACTATCTGTGACATAACTACTGTATGATTTATTATTCTCAAGCAAACAAGGACAGGAATTAATTACTGTAATATTAAATTTATTTCAGTTAACTCTCTTAGCCAGTGTCATTTATATTGTCTTTGTTCAGTCTTCTTTCACCAAATAAGGATTGAAAATCTTTGTTTAAAACAGGGTTCCCAAGAGTGGGGAAATCGGTTGTGGATCATTAGATTCCATATAGTTGTCTTTCACATAAATTCCATAAGAAATCTTGCTTTTTAAGGAATTAGATCTTCTGCCTGTCCTCCTGACCTGCATCCTCCAGCCAGTTGAGATTTCTGTTTCTACAAGCAAGTCTCTGCAAAGATGCTGCTGAGCAAGACACTTGCCTCACCTCAACCGAAAATCTTAGCTCCCTGTGGCTTTCCTGCAAATCAGTGACTCAAGAAAGCATCAATTTGTACATCTTAAGGCTACACCTGCCTATGTGAGGAAAGGACATAAAAGACAAATAACTGTAGTTTTTTATTATTTATAAAAGTTCCCTTCCCTCCCTTTCCTTTCCCCCTTTTCCCTCCCTCCCTCCCTTCCTTCTTTCTTCCTCTTTCACGTTTCCCACTCAGATCCTTGGGAATTCAATGAGGTAGAGGTGAGTGTTCCTGTGTATGAGGAAAGTGACATGGATATTTTATTTATTCTGTCATTCTGGTGATCAACACTATGTTTTACATTACCTCACTTCAGCTAGGCTGCACCCCCCAGTTTCTTCCACGGTTAAGGGGGGGCCCACGGAATGTGGGTAGAAGTGATGTACAGTACATAATACTTGCAAGTTTTGCCTCCAAACCATTCCTCACTCAGTGCTCATTTCTAGTGAGATGCAATGAAGGACTCCAGGATACAGGAATGACTACTTCAAAGAAGTCTTCATTTTTCTTGTTAGTTCTCTGGACTATGTGTAAGTGACAAACATAAATAGTGTACTAAGCTACACAACTTTGCAACAATTTCTAATAACAGCCTATCCTGATATAATGAGAACCACTCCAAAGTGTGTGTTTTATATAGTAAATACTTTGGGAGGACGGAGGGGGAACCATAGTCTGTATTTATGTAATATTAATTAAATTAGGTGAATATGAAAAGCATAGTTTATCTACAGTAAACTGGCTAGAAAATTTTAGTATTATAGGTAGATAAAATATGAAAAGCATCAAGTAACTTTATTAATGTCTCTGATAACATATTGGATATTTCTTCTGGGCAGTTATAATTTAAGATTTATACCTTATAAATAATTGTATGATCATATTATTATGTGAGCTTTCATTAATGAATTGAAAATTGAGAAACAAGTTATCTTTTATTAAGTTACTTGTACTCACTCACTTGTATTAAGAAGAAGTAATACTTTCATACAAAGGAACTCTTCATGGCTCACTTGAAGCTTCACAAACTCCTGCGGGATCTGCCACATGGTAAGGCATAATGAATAGAACGACGATTCTTTCATCCGCTGTCTAGCTCCACACATAAACATACACAAAAAAGCAACAGGAAAAAAGTCTCAGCCAGTTTATATAATATATCATGGAATATGATTTTAGTAATTATTTCTCATATTAGTGAGTCTGACTACTATATTTAGTAAACAAACTTAGTATTTGGAATTTTAAACATCTTTAAACTTTTTCATAATAGGTATTTTGGGGAGCAGTACTAGGATTTAAACCCAAGGCCTTTGTCCTGAGCTACATCTCCAGCCTTTATTTTTGAGAAAGGGTCTTGCTAAGACCAAGGCTGGACTCAATCTTATGGTCCTCCTGTCTCCAGCTCCCCAAATACTGGGATTATAGCTGTGCACTACCATGCCCAGCTCTGGAACCAAATTTTTGAGGTTAACACAATAACTTTTAAAGCATAAAAAAATATTAAATATGTATTGACCAGGCAATATTGTTTCTCTTTCATTACTAACATTTTAAATACTGTGCTCATTTTGGCAGCAGATATACTAAAACTAGAACATTTTAAATACCTAAACCAAGAAAAAAATAAAAAAGTCATAGGTTTTGACAATGTGATCTGAGGCATGCTTAGAAATTTTTTCTTTATTGATAATTTTTCCACACACACACACACACACACACACACACACCTACATGGATATATACATATATGATATGTGTAGGTATATAATGTTTGGTTGTGAATGGGAGACTTATTTCAACAGAATGTAATTACACTGTGATCTTTTCTAGGGGAAATGTATGGTGCTATGTAAAAGAATAAAAAGGAACATTAGCAAGAATTAAATAATTGACAAGGTTAAAAACAAATGCTAATGATAGTAGATACATACATAGGGTATTTTTTCAGCCATGAATTCTTTTATAAGTCCACATTAGTAAAAAAAAAAAAAAAAAGGCTAATAGGAATAGTGAACGGAAGATCAGATTTTTGACTCAGAAGAGTTAAGGTTAATCCTGCCAGATTCTTTGGCAGGTTACTGAATTTTGAAACTCAGTTTTTCAAACTGTAAAGTGAAGGATGAAGATTCCCTGCCTATTTTAAGGGGCTTTCAGAAAAATGAAATTACATATATGAAAACTATGAACTATGAAGACTTAAATGAGTGTAACTTATTTAATTGAAATACCTGTGTCAGCATTTGCCATTGGAACAGCAATATTACCATGAAATGATTCATATTTATTTAAATGTGATATATAAAAATAATTATTTAAATACAATTAAGCAAATTGAAATATTTATCTTTCAATTTTAAAATAAATTGCCCATCTAATTTTTCTTATAGGAAAAAAGATATTTTTACTTTTCAGAGTTAAGCCAGTACTTTCAAAATGACATGTGTAATTTATTTCATTATCTTTATTAGTACTATGGTATGAAACTTTATAAACCTAAACATTTAATTTGTGGGGAGGGTACCAGGGATCGAACTCAGGACTTTGCGCTTGCAAGGCAAACAGTGGAACCACTGAGCTAAATCCCTGGCCCTAAACATTTAATTTTTTCTTTATGTATACTTGTTGATATGATTTTGAAGAATCTAACAAACTTTAGAGAGCAATATATATTGAAACTAAAGGAAAATTTCAAAATACAAAAATTCCTGATAGAAATGATACAATCTTACTAAGATTATCACATCAAGCTATATCCTCATGTAATTCTGAGAAATCTTTCAGGAAATTCTATTATTTAGGATATTAAATAAATGTATGATCATTTATTGAAATAAAATTTTCAAAATTATCTTACTCATGATAATAATAATAAAAAAGTTACTACTTACTCATTTAATACTAGATCAGGTGCAAAATATAACATCTGCCCACTGACATGTTTGTAGGACCTCCATCCTAATGCAAAAACCATTAAGCTCATCCAAGAGTACTGAATGAGAGTTATCTGGTCATCAATATGTAAGTTTCGAAAGCCTACAAAACATTTAAAAATGATCACAAAGACATATCTTGAAATGTGGAAAACACATAGGAATATGAAAATAGAATGTTAGTAGGATTTCAATCTCAATATTTTTTACCCTAAAACTCAGGAAACATTACGAAGAATATAGCATTAAAATGGAAAAAGGGCTCAACTTTGGGAGTGACTAAAAGTTAATCACTGTGATTTAGCATTTCTGGGAATACGCTAAGTGAATCAATCATCCATCACAAATTTAGACAGCACCCTCCTGGAGAGGGCACCATGCCAGGCACCATGTTAAAGAGTTAGGGTTATGAAGATGAGTAAGATCCAATCCTTGCCTTCAAACGAAGCTCACAACTCAACAGGAGAGTCAAACACACGAGATCTGTGACAGAGAGGTTAAAGGGTATATACAACAGTGAACCAGAAAGCAGGCCAAGGAAAACTTCCTAATTGATAAAGAGAATACTTAGGTGGAATATGTCCAGTTTGTTAAGGTCTCTCAATCTTAAGACAATTTAAACATAAATTGGTTTTAGTTTGTAAAATCACTGCTTTCAATGGTGCTATATCTAATTTTCCTTTAACATCACTTGTCTTGGAGATGTAAGCTTGGATCAGATTATGAATGGCCTCATCTATTAAGAAGCAAAAGGGGCCGGGGATTTAGCTCAGCGGTTCGGTGGCCTGCCTCGCAAGCACAAGGACCCGAGTTCAATCCCCGGTACCAAAAAAAAAAAAAAGAAGCAAAGGAAGGGACACAGCTTTACATGTTATAGATGGGTCCTTGATACCTATGTGGGAGATATTTTCAGGGGGGTAAGTTTTGAAGTTAAGGGAGCTATTGCCAAATGATAGGTGAGTCGATAAAAGCTTGAAATAAGTCAATATACAGGCATTGAGAGTTCTCAGAGAAACATTTATGTACAGAGTAAAATAAAGGAGACTTAGCAAGTGGAGGTAGGCATGAAGAAGGACTCAATTTATCTTTCAGTTATCCTCGAAAATGCTTTAGTAATAATGGCATTGGTGAGATAAAATACTGTAATGGAGGAGAAACAGACTAGGGAGAAAAGTGTATTTGGACATGTATGAGGGACTTCAGAAATACCCAGGTATCAACCAGGCATGTGAACAAGAAGGAATGGGGAGACATCTGCGCTAGAAATATAAATACGTACTATATTCACATCTGACTGTAGATGAAACAAGGAAAGTAGGTTAAATATTTTATTAAAGGTTAAGAGAAAAAACATGTAAGTATAAATAGCAACCATTATTTTGATGCTCTCTGAATGACACGCTTCTCCTAAAGTCCACTGAGAAACATTTATAAGTGACTTATTTCAGAAAAAAAACCAAAGCAAAACTTAATTCATTAGACACCAAGGGCAAAACAATCTAATTTCCTGACTACATTAGTCATCTAAAGATAGCAGCAGAAATTTTCTCTCTACTCCAGATGGTTCTACCTTCTTGTGACTAATAGGAAGACTGCTACTCTCTTCTTAGAACTCCTCATCTTTACTGGGACCCAGAACAGCTCTAGTGCATATTCGTAACTCAGGGTGCCACAGAGGTGTCCCTCTCAGGGGTGGAGAGTAGGAAGCACGAAGCACTGCTCAGTGTCTAACCTCCTTCCCTGTCTCCCTTCCTTTCCCTTTGTGTACGGATTACCACTGGTTGTAGTCTAGTGACACCAAGTGTCCAACCTGCATACCAAGGAAGCTAGCTAAAGCCTCTGCTTTTCTGGGCTTGTGGAACACGGACTACCAGGACAGCTGAATCAGAATCAGTGAAGGAAACATAAAGATACAGTTATTTATTCTGAATAAGGGTGGTGGTAGAATACAGTGGCTGTATTTATAATGCTGTTTTTTTTTTCCTTTAGAGACACCTCAGTTTCTGCCAATTTTTGATATTGGTCCTCTAACTTCTATTTAGTGATTACCTGATGTTCTTCAGCACTTTTATGAGTTTTAAAAAATTTTAATATGACTAACACTTTTTTTTTCCTGGTACTGGGGATTGAATTCAGGACCTTGCACTTGCGAGAGAGGCACAGCGCCAATGAGCTAAATACCCCGCCATGTTTTTATTTTTTAATTTTTTTCCGCTTTTAGTTTTTGTGGGCATCTAAGTTTTCTGATTTATTTATGTGCAGAAAGACCCTCTAAATAACGACCCAAGAAAACTGGCATGTAATTTTCATCATTTTATTATCATATGTCTTAAATATACTGTCAAGGGCATATCTACATAATACTCCTTTTAGAAAAAAATTGAGTCAACACAGCAAGTCTAGAAAATAAATGCTGTTTGTCAATTGACTGTTTAAAAGATTTTTAAAAGTGAGTTGTTAGTTCTTTGGTAAATATAGAATAACTCGATAAAAGATCAATGAATTTGCTCAATTTTTTCAAAGGAAGATTTTTTTTTAAGGAAGGCATATATTTTGCTGTCTGTTATTAGCTATCCTCTTTAAATTAGAAGGAATTCTGGAGAGAAAACCTAAGTTCCCATCCCAACTCTATCCTTAATTAAAGCCATTTTGGGAAAGCATTTTCTTCATAGTAAGAGAAAAACAATAATGATAACTAATTCAATTACTCACTATAAACTCATATGGGATATTTACACATGTTGTAAAGCACAATACAAATATGTGTTATTAATCTCTCAATGGTTTTTATAGCAGATCTGCTCAATAGAGAAGCTGCTGTGTGAAAGACATGACAGAAAGTCTCTAATTTTAAAATACAATGAAACTGAAATTATATGTCATTTTATATTATAGAACCTGTGTAACAGAACTAAAGTAAAAATGTTAGTAATGGCTAGTAATGGCAATAAGTTCAAAGGATAAATATTCTATCTGGGATACATTTCTACAATTAATTAGTTATATTAAAAGATTAATATAATAATAATATAATAATATAAATTCCTGAACCATATTTATTATTCTCTAAGTCTTTTCATATTCATTTTTATAGCTTTCTATAGAAAACATTTTAAAATACTTAAGTATCTGACATAACTATGCTATATTTTTCTACTTTTATTTTATGTTAAACACTAGCTAGTTTTATAAAAATTATATAAATTTATACAAGCCATTCAGTTATTCTTTTTTAAAAAAATAGGGATTCTGTTTATATTTACATTCACTTTTCCTTAATGTTTGTTTTTGTCTTTTTACTTTCTGTTTTGGTTTTGAATTCTGGGATTATTAATGACTTGAAATAAAGGAACACTTCTTATAATAAAAGGCAAACTTTATCGAAATATCTTAAAATGTATCTAATTACCAACATTACTAGAAGAAAATATATTTCCATTTTACAGAATAGAAATCAGAAAATAATGTCTCTTTATGTCACCTTTTGGAGGGCTTATCTGTGATAAATGTACAAGGTGATATTATGTGAACATGCCTTGTATAGAAGAACAATTTTTTCTGTATTAAATGAAATATTACATTGCTTTATACAGAAATAAAAATGGGAACACTGAGATCACATTCCAAATGGTGATAATGATCAGGTAAATTTAGTATATTTGAGATGATGATCAAAATGGAAAAGAGAAGTGATGAGTAGTCACTCATTGTCTTTATCAACAGCATTAAAAAAAAATCCCCTTGCTTTTTTTGTTTGTTTGTTTTTTTGTTTTTTTGAGACAGGGTCTCACTATGTAGTTGAGACTGATCTGGAACTCAATATGTATCCCAGGCTAGTCTTGAACTCAGAGTGATCCTCCTGCCTCGGCCTCCCGAGTGCTGGGATTACAGGCAAGAGCCATCATGCCGGGCTTTGCCCTTGCTTTTTAAATGACTTGACAACTCCTGAAACACGTTACTAGCTTTCCAATTTTTAATTCTTAAAAATATTAGAAGAAACAATACATCAAAGAGATGGCATGTATTACACTACTTCCAGAGTTCTGATACAGTACACAGGGTGTACTTCAGTTTAAAAAAAACAAAAAAAGGACCGGGAAATTTAGCTCAGTGGTTCCACTGCCTGCCTCGCAAGTGCAAGGGCCTGAGTTCAATTCCCAGTACCAAAAAAAAAAAGATCATGAAATTGAAACAGCTAGTGCAAAACAAAGGCAGAGTATTATATATTCAAGCACTTTCTGACACAAAGCAGGGACTTTCACATAAAATATGAACTCTGAAGAGGACAGAGAAGCTTCAGTATAATGCGTGTAACCACCATCATGTGTTTGATGACTTCAAAGGCAGTGTAGTTCTCTGTCCATCCATTCCATTCTTTAAATTTCTAGAAGTTATTTTTAAGTACCTAACTGAGGTGAAGCATTACAGTTTCCACAGCACAAAGATTACAAAGATGGTGTTTCTGCCTTTAACACATATATTCTCTTGAGACAGACATAAAAGAACATGATTTTAATTCATAGTGTCAGTGCTGTGGTTGACAAATGTAAGGGAGACATGGGAGAGTGAGAGGTCCCTCACCTGGCCTCAAGGCTTGAGGAAATCCTTGTGGGGAAATATCAGATGATGTGAATCCTGATGGTTGGTGAAGGGCCAGCCACAAGAGGTGGGAGAAGACAGGGGCCTCCGGGTAGATAAACAAAAACATGGGCAGAAAATGAAGAATTGGATCCATTGTGGGAACTGGATCTTGGAGCTTCTTGACGAAGGGATTTCTGAGAGCTAACAATGCAAATTCAAGAGCCAGATCACAGAAAGGCCTTTGATATGAGAGCTAAGGAGACTTATACTTTGAAAAGAGGAAAACAGGCTGGGGATTTAGCTCGGTAGAACTGCACCTGCCTTGCAAGTGCGCAAGATCCTGAGTAAAAAAAAGTGATTAAAACCAAACTAAGGACAGCATTCGCAGTGGAAGTTGTATGCATAATAAACCATACATTTAATAAGCAGAGTTCACAGAGTTTGATAACTGGTCTAGGGATTAGGAAGAAAGCAAGCCAAAGATGATGCTAAACAGTCTGGTTGTGGCGTCATTCCAAGATACAGAAAAAAGAAGTTAGGTTTCATGAGAAGGTCATGCTGCCTTGGAAACTCATGTGGGTACAGAAGTACAATAAGCACCTGAAATATACAGTCCAATAACTTAGTAGAGGGTCTGGGTTGATGATATATGTTTAAAAATATTGAGACATGGTGATAATTAGAGACAAGGCTATGAAAGCATCCAGACTGTGCAGAGTGAGAACCTATTGGAGTAGATGACAGAGCTCAGGCTGTGCCAAATGTATGGTATGAATGGAAGAACAAATATAGTAGGGCTTATAAAACAGTTTGTAAGGCATGAACGTATTCATTTGACAAAAATATTTTGTCAACATGGACACATTTCAGTGGAATAAGGTGTCAGAAAAATGAGTTTTGAAAGTCTTCATAGAAACCTGTATCAAAGCCTAATTTTAGTCTTAGTAGACCACTCTCATTTCTGAGGGCTGAGTAACTCATGATAAAAGTTTCGATGTTATGAAGGGACTCTCACATCTGAAAAGGTTAGGAACCATCATTTTATGCTAGATTAATTTATTAACCACCAAACAGCTTTGGAGCATCCCTTCCCTTACAACCTCATACATATTCTTCCTTCTACCTAGTACTTCTTTTTATTAAGATTAAACCTTTGTTTCTCATGTCTCTAGTCCCCAATGTTGAATGTTCTGCCCCTACTTTCTTTATATTTGTATATCATGCCATTGTTCAGTATTTTATGTCTCTTATTGGCTCAAAAGTTCCTTAATAGAAGAAGTATGTGTTGTTCAACTTTTAAATTTCACAGATACTGTGTTGCTCTAAACTCCAAATATTGCTCATTGGAGCTATACATAAAGGTCAATGTAAAATCATTTATATACAAATGCTATATATCTGATGCAATGTACCCTAAGTGATGGTTTATAAATATCCTTTCACGAGGACAGAACATCTAGCAAGTCTTTATTTAATAATAAAAGAATATCTTTGAAACAGAAAGAGAAATAAGATAAGTTACAATTACTGTAACTGGTCAAAAATAATGAAAATGTATAGACAAACAAGAAAAGAAGTCCTGACTAAGCAACAAGAATCCTCAGAGTGTCTGCAGACTTATGCCTAGGGGCCCCCGTGTATTACCATTGTTATAATAATTATTTTGCACCTGCTGTTAATCTGACTTCTCAAATACACTTTCCTATTGTGAAAGAATGACTTGATAAGTCTACCAAAGAATTTCTTTGCACTGCCAGTTAATTAGTGTTCTATCTTATTACAAGGGCAGCATTAATAAAAGCCTATCTTTTTAGCCTTATTACACATTAGTAAATGGATAAAGTAACCTTCTCACATGTGTAAAACTGATGGACCACGTGGTAGTGCATCTTGCACCAAAATGTATTCACACCGTCAATCTAGCTTTCTGGATTTCCTTTCTAAGGAGTGAATCAGCAAATAAAAACTAACATTGTTTAAAGTCAACTGAAACCCATTTGGAGTAGCTAATGATACTAGATTATAAACATGTCCTTCTGAGCCCTTTCTTGGAAGCCAAGATAGTTCCTTGAGTTCACTGGCCATTGTCATCATTCAATCAGTAGTGCTACTTCCCAATGCAGTCTATGCTAATATGGTTTGGAAAGGCCATAGGCCACACAACACTTTGATAACTCAATACGTCCCTGTTTATAGTTAACAGCAACAGCATATGTAATGCCAGTGTTGCCGTCATTCTCATTTGCTACATATAAATTATATTTTCAGCAATAATCATTGTCACCAAGGTGAGAGTAAAAATTTCCTCTCGGTTTCCCTTTCTTCTCTCCATTCCTCCCTCCTTCCCTCCTTCCCTCCCCTTTCTTCCCCCCACTTCCTCTCAGTTGTGTAGGGTCAAACAGTGCTGGTAGGTATCTGTCTCAAGTTAAGCTCACTCAACTTTTATCCATAGTGAACAAATTATCTTTTGAACTATAGTTGCTTATTTTCTAAATTTATCAGCAAATGTTAGAGTCTTTTTGAACATTTGAAAATGCAAATAATAGAAATATATAAAAATATAGATATATAAATATATTAAAAATCATATCTAATATAAATCATTTCTAAATAATAGAAAAATTGAAAAATACTTTTAAACAAATACTTTATATAGTAATTTTGTCAATGCTATTAGGACATTCTACTTAGTAAAGGACTGTCAATTTTGATAACAACCTTACAGAACTTATTCAGAACTTTCCTAATGAAAAAAAAATAATTACCTGTCCAGGGCCTTCAGCTAGAATAAAATTAGTAAGAAGCTGGGTAACTTTTTTTCAATATGTAGTTTTAAAAAGATTCAACAAACAGGGATCTATTTTTCTATTTCTTTCCGCAACCTTGAATGTTCAATAGCAATTCATCTTTATATTTAAAACCTTTAGGTAGACTAAAAACTGAAACATATATTAAGGCACATTGGGAAGGATTTTTTTCAAAAATTCTACTGAATTTACTTGGGAACTAAAATGACGTAATATTAATTCCTGATACTGGAAAAAATAAATTGGTCTAAAGAAGTATAAAGATATTCCTGGTGTGAAAAGAACGTAATTTTTGAAAAAAGATTTCTATTTCTAATTATGAGATTAATGCCTCCACAAACAACTGCTGCACATTTTCTCTTTGTACTGCAGTCTAAGATTTAACCAAATGAGAATTTCATCCTTTCTCTTTCAACCACTTGGTTTCTATGGAGCTATGTAGAGGGAACAAAATGTATGCTGAAGTGACTGAAATATTTTCACGATGATATAATTTAAGTCCTCATTGCTGAGCTACAGCCCCTTTTTCTGGTTATATCTTAGAGGAAATAGTGACTAGCAGTTATTTTCTCTATGTCCAATAACGTTTTTTTTAATGTTTAGGAGCTGTGTTTTCTTAGCTGACCTTACATACCTTACCGTACTCTGAAATTTTGAATTGTTACATGAATAAAATATTCAGTTTTATTTTTGACCAATTAAAGCTGGTTCAATTAAGTTTTAGAATAAACTAGACATTAATAAAAAATGGTCAACATGTCTTTCTCTGAACCACTATTATATCTGTGGTTGGACATATATTTGCTACTTCTTAATTGTTTTATGTATGTAATTCTTGATTTATGAACTAGACAATTTATTCTCTACTTCTTTTGTATTTCTATAGCACATACAAGCACCTATAGTATGTAACATTTGACTGCTGAAACAAACACTAGAACATGCTTTTTACATTACAGTTAACTTACTAACACAGTTTTATTTAACAATATACATGTACAAATAAACAAAAACAGTACATTTTTGATTGAATGAATGCTATTATGTATCATTTTTACCTGGCAGTGACTTAGACCACTTGACTACAGACAGAAGTTGCCTCTCTCCTAGTTGATTAAGACTTGTCAGCAAAGAGCTGGAAGTATCAGGTTTTGAGTTGTCATATCCTGCATAGATTACATCTGGTTCAATACTCATCAACAGGTTGATCAGTGGAGGGACCAACTGCATTTCTTGATTTGGTGAAAAAGTGATTCTTGGGCTTTCATTCGAAATGCTCACTGGCTGTGGAAGAGCAACACCATCTAGTGCTCTCATAACTCTGACTTTATTGAATTTCTTAAACTTTCGACCTACAGTGAATAAAAAAGAAAAGAAGTTCATTTAAATATATATGAACTAAATATGGAACCGAATATCCCAGCAGTGTATTATTTTTCCTTGTCTTAAGAATCATACCATTATAGATTCTGGCGTCTGTTATGGTTTGGGTCTAGATGTCCCCCAAAAGCCTCATGTTGTCATAGGTGGCTTTTTCAGAGGAGGCTGAACCTAGAGTGTGATGCTTGATAGCCTAGATAAACTACAACAGGCAAAAAGAAGCTTGCCTTCTCCCTTGTTGCTTTTGCTACGTGGACGCCATGAACTGTTTCTTCACTGGAACGTCCCTCCACCATGTGTTACTCTGCCTTGAAGCCAGCTATTATGGATGGAAACCTCTGCAAACTTGAGCTAAATAAACTCATTCCCTTTAACCTTCAATGTCAAGTATTTTGTCTCAGCAATGAGAGAAAAGTCACTAACACAGCATCGGTCTAATGAAATGAAATAAAATCTGACTCTTAGGTCTCAGATTTGGATTAAGCAGTAACATCAGCATTCACTAGGTTACTGTGGTGTGGATAATTATGCCAAGACCCACCAGGATCACACCACATTTGTATTTTTTAGACAATTTCTAGAATGCCTACTTTGATGAACTGTGGTGTGTGAGGAAGGAAAAAAATGTGCCTGTGAGATGAGTAGAATTTACCTCACGATGATGCACTGAAAGAGACCAGTATACTAGTGCAGCCTGCTTCTGCTTCACAGATGCCTTGGAGTGGATTAGAACAAATGTCCTGGTGACCTGAGGGCAGGCTGGATTTCAGTCCCATCTGTTGTGTGCCAGGCATGAGCTGCTTATCAGCTATGAGAGGCCTGGTAAATGTTCACAATGATCTAAATGGAGGTTGTAATCTGCTGGCTCTGGTACCTGATCTGGCTCATAGACATTTTGGGGCGAGGTTCATATAACACTGGTCAGAGTTATAAAAACATCCCTGAGTTAGTTAGGTGGCAGTGACATGTTAGAACTGCACGTTTGTTTGTCCAATTCTGAGCGTGGACTGGTAGTGGAGCAGTGCTCAGTTTTCCTAAATCTTGCCACTCTACCCAATTAATTTACCTGCTTGTCTCTATAAGCATTTGTCTTTGTGATTTTTGAGCTTAAGCATTGTCATAAGAAAAAAGTAATACACTCTTTATAAAACCCCAAGGAAATGAAGCTAGAACTTAGGTGACAGGGAAACAACTGTCAGGGTCAATCCACAAAAGGGACTCAGAATTTTGTACTGAGAACAATTGGAAGGAACGAGTCACCAAAGAGAATTGAAGTAAGAAAAAGTTTCACAAAAATCTTGAAAAGGGAGGATCATTAACTCCATTTTTACTCTGTGAAAATGAAGATTAGAGAAGATATCACACCTGAGGTTAGAGTAGTAGAGCTCAGACTCTATGGTTCCTAAGGTCCAAGCCCTTTTTACCCACTACCATCATTGGAGTTTCTGGTCTGGGCTGCATTTTTATTCCCTAACATTCTGGTGAAGGGGTCTGAGCAACAGATTGTGCAAAAATGCTCAGAATTTGGATTAAATGCTTTTTAAGGTTAATTACAATCCTAAAGTGCCATGCCTAACAAAAAATACACCCTCCAATATCCCTGATAATAACCCCAAGAAGGAAATTGCTTTCTTTCCAATTTATTTTTCCTTATATTTTTTGTATTTATAATGGTTAAAAATTAATATTCAATGACCTACATGGAACAGCAGAATTAAGTAGAACTTAATACAGGATTTAAAAATACTTGTATTTAAGAACAATGGTTATATACTTACAAAAACAAGCCTTTTGTTTTGAATATTATATAGATTAAACACATAAAATCAAAATTTCATGTAATTATCTAATCCAAGTTCATTGGTATAGCAATTCACATTAGAAATATTAAGTGTAATAATAATACATATAGTTTGAAAAACAAATAGAAAATGGTCTAAGATTATGACAATTATACCCACCCCACCCAGTTTTCCCATAACCACCTTCACATTTTATTGTGATTTATAAAGCAACAACACAATTGAAAATGTACAGCTAAACAAATCACAATAAAAGCCAAAAGACTGAACACTACCAGCACCTCAGAAGATGCACTTAAGCCTTATCCCTCACTGAAGAGAGCCATCAACCCACCTGCTACCACAGATTCTCCCTTGCTTTCCTTTTTTTTTTTTTTTTTTCCTACTTTAACCTCGTTGCTCTCTTTCATCTTTTAAATTCTGGTTTCATCAGGATTTGAGTACACTATTGGTTTCCTTGAGTCTGTATTAATTATAACATTATTCACACCTCTGAAAAATAATAGCACTTGGTGTTTTGAGTCATGTAACAGGAGACTAGGTGTTTTGAATCAGTAACTGGCAGAAAATGATATGTATGGGTGCTTTCACAGTTTTGTTCAAAGGAGGGAAGTCTTGGACTCAGATGCCATGGGTAGGCGTGAGGGTTAAAAACAAAGATGAAGAAAGTGGTGTAAGAGTCTTCTGGCTGATGCATGAGGATTTGAGGGATGGAGTTAGACATAGGGAAGTTGATGTTTTGGAGGCTGAGGGAAGCCGCCACATATCCCCTCCCTCAACATATCTGATGGATACTATGGAAATACAATGTTCCACATTTCCTCTGCTTTCACCATGTATTAAGTCACCAGTGACACAGACAATTGCAAAATGTGGTGGCTGTTGTCCCACCTTTTGTCTTCTGTAGTTTATTCTTTATAATATTGAGGCTTTAAAAATTCAAATCAGACTGACACTCCTTGTTCATTACCCGCTATGACTTCCAATCCTACCTAGTATAAACTTCAAACTTTTTATCAAGCTCTGCAAGGCTCAACATACTCTTGCACAGATTATCTCTCTTATATTCTTTCCCTTGTTCCATCCATATTGAACCTGTCAAGTACTCCACAAGGCAAAAATAGTTTTATTTTTGTTATGTTGTTATTTTTATCATGTCCTTTTGGCTAAGATCAAGTGTATTTTGTTATTCTTTCTGTCTTCAGCTAAAATATAGGTCTCTTGCTTATAGCACAGCATTTCATACATGGTAGATATTCAGTAACTTCCTTGAGTAAGTCAGTAATTATACTGCAAAAAAAATTCTATTTGCCACAAGAGCTCTATCATAACTCGGCCTCCTGCCAAATACTTTGCTCTCTAAAGACTGGTTAGAAATCTAAAGGGAATTTACCTTTAGCAAAAGAAAATTTAGGGCAGGCGGTTTAGCATATTTCATAATAGAATGTTTTGAGTGTTCATATGCTTGTAAATTCCAGAAGTTGACACCTTTCTACCATAGCTGCACTTTTACCCCCAATCATTGTTTCCTTCTCTTTCATTTCCAAATAGTGAGGTTTCAAATCTTGTAGATCAGACTATTACAATAAGAAGATTAAAATAAACCTCAGGAAAGCAGGGAAGAAAATCAAGGAAAACCGAGTCATAATTATTAGGACAAACAGCAGGTCAAGATAGAATTACCCAGTTTTAAATGTATAATAGATAGTAGACATGAAATGTGGGATTTAACTGGGTGTGGCAGGATAAACCTATAATCCTAGCACTATGAGAGGCAGAGGCAGGAGGGCTGCAGCTCAGCCTGGATATTTAACAATTTAGTGAGACTGTCTCAAAATTTTAAAAAAAATTTTTAAAGGGCCAAGGATATGGCTCAATGAGAAGACCCCAGATATTTCATCTCCATTACTCCCCCTGCACACACATGCACCCTGTGTAAAAATATTTTTAGAAAGGATACATTAAGAAACTTAAAAGCAAAATCAAATGAAAAATACAAATTGGAAGAATGGCATGATATGGTCTCAGGCCCGAGTCTTGTTGCATGTTAATAATTGGCATCTAAGTTTCAAGAAATCAAACACCAACAAAACATCAAATAAAAGATTAAATAATTACAAACAGAATAAGATGAGAGAGCAGGAAAAAATGAAGTCACGATAGATTTTAAATTTTATTAGAAAAACTAAACCAGGACAAGTGGCTACGGTAAAAAAATAAACCAGACCATGAAGTTCAGACTTGAGAAAACCTACCAGACATGAAAGTAAATAGAGAAAAGTTGACAGATGTGAATTACAGGTAGCAGAGGATCAGCATAGTTTATTATGGGGGACCATGAAAAAAGAAAGAAAATATAGAACAAAAAATGCTTTCAGGAAAATACTAAGAGAAAGTTTTTAAAATACGAAGACTTGAACTTTTTAGATTAAAAATGGCTTACTCTGTTTAAAGAAAAATTAACAGATTTCTAGACAGAGCTAAATTCTGATGAAGTTACTGCACTTACACCCCTATTCTTTATTACAATGCTATTACATTTCCTATAGAGGTGTTCTGAAACACTTTTCCAACCCATTGATAGATAGAATTAAAATTTTTAAAGGTATACTTAATGTATTTAATTGAAATTAACATGGCATTCTATATAAGCTTCTCCTACTGGCAATGCAGATTATTAGATAACATAATTTTCTTTCCAGAATTCCTAAAAATAATAGATGAAACGTAACCAAGATTCTTCGAAATACATCACTAAGCCTTTCAAAAAAATAGTGAAATATTTAGGGGTCCAAAATGAACAACATCTCTATGTACTGATAAAGTAACATGGGAAGGAATCATATTTGTTTTAGCCTTGGCTTGGTATGTGGGCAAAAAGTCTCCTCTGAGAACTTAATCATAGGCCTTCCTCATCCAGCTGTGCAACTTGCAGTTATTATCTTTGCAAGGTACGGCAAAACTAGAGGTTAAAAAAAAAAGTTAAAAGTTGTCTTTTACCAGTAAAATACCTACAGAGTCTGGAATACTGAAATATCAATTCTCTCCAAGGAGAAGCACTCTCAATTGTAACCACACAGGATTTAAAAAACAAAACAAAACTACCAAATGTGAGTTCATGATCCAAAATTACAAAAGGTACAATGAATGAGAAATACCAAAAAACAATA